CGGGTCGAGTCCGGGCATTTCCGCGGCGCTCCAGGCGAACAGGTCAGCATTCTCGCGCAAGCAGGCCTTGATTTGCTTCCTTTCCAGGTCGGGGAGACCCTTGCCAATCTTTACTCCTTTGCTCGGGTCTGTGCCGAGGGGGACGAGCTCAAAATCCCCATCCGGTATCAGTCGAAGTGGAACTTGCTCGCCGTTGGGAGGTTCGTCCTGGTCGAAACGAGCGTCCAGAGCTATAGAGTCGACCTTTGGTGGAGCTTTCTGGGCTTCCTCCCTTGCAGACTCTTGCTTGTCGGGCTCCTGTCGTGTCCTTTTGGCGGGCCTTGTCCCTACATCGACAGTGTCGCGTCCCTTAGATGCAGCGTTGAAACACCTTCGAGCAGCGGCTAGGTCTCCTTGGATAGTAGCTACTTGTGCCCTTTTGGTGTAGAATTTCATCTTCAGGTGGACGGTGGAGGCACCGCTGTCAGTTCTGCCAGTGTTGGTCTTCCCATGATGCAGTTGTAGAGGGACGGGCAGTCGATGACGAGGAAGCGTACTTTGACCTGTCTTGTCGTTGTTCCCTCGCCGAATGTAACCAGGAGCTCGACATATCCCCAAGGTTTGGAGGTTGAGCCGTTGAAACCCTGTAAGTCTGACCCTACATATGGCGAGAGATGTGAGTCGTCCAGCTGTAGAGTTCGGAACAATTGGTTGTACATTACGTCGACGGAACTTCCTTCGTCGACGAGGATGCGATGCACATCGAAGTTGGCCATTCTTGCCCTTATCAGTAAGGGGATGACCGCGTTGGGGGCTCCCCCGGGAAGCTCTTCTAGATAGAAGGTGATGGGTTCTGACCTGCCCTTCACCCTTTCAAATGTCACTGTTTGTGGGGGTGCCGCGTCGACCAACTCATCCAGCTTCCTCTTTGCCGAATTAATGGTCAAGTCGTTGAATCCTCCGCCGTTGATGACCATGGCGGAGGGGAAATATTCCCACCTGCTGTGTGTTGTGAGCGGCTCCTGCAGGTGTTCGGGGACGTCGAAGTCCTCGGGTCTGGTCACGGAGAAGGCGATCTGGATGGGGACCGACTCGTCAGATGGTCGGGCGTCTTTCTCTGGCTCTCCTGTCTCCCGGGCGTCACGGCGAGGAGCGTCGTTTCGCCAGTATTGTGCAAGCCTTCCTCCCTTGATGAGGGTTTCGATGGCGTCCTTGAGGTGGACGCAATCCTTAGTCAGATGACCATGGCTCCTATGGTACTGACAATATTTGTTCTTATCCGCTCCGGGCTTGGCGGGAGCAGGTCAGGGACGTTTGACACTGCCGTCCTTGAAGTCCGTGCTGACACACTCCGCCAAAATGCGCTCGTGGGAAGCTGTGAGCGGAGTGTACTCGGTAAAACGCCCCGAGGGTCCCCGTTGCTCTCGGACTTTCCGGGGTCTGTCTTCTTTTCTTTTCTCCCCGGTTCGTCGAGGAGGAGGAGCTTCCTGGCGCGAGTTGCTGTTGGACCCGCGAGTTCTGGGGTCTCGGGCTCTGTTGGCCGCTTCTCTCTCCTCATAGTCCATGTATGCCCGGACCTTTTCGAGGAGGGCATCGAATGTTCTGGGTGGCTCGATACCCACGGCTTTTCTGAATTTTGTGCCGGGGAGGAGCCCCCTCTCCAGCAGATATCTCTTCATATGGTCCGCGCAGGGGACCTGTATGGCTTTGCGGTTAAAGCGATTGATGAACTCTCTCAAGGTTTCATCCTGTCTCTGGATGATGGCCTCGAGAGTCGCCTCGGTCTTCGGGTGTCGGCGAGATGCCGTGAATGAACTGATGAACTGGTTCTTCAGGTTCCGCCACGAGGTGATTGACCCCGGGGCGAGTCCTTTGTACCAGTCCATTGCCGCCTTCCTGAGAGTCGTGGGGAACAACCGGCATTTGATGGGGCCCCCGACATTGTGATAGTGCAGCATAGCCTCGAACCCGTCTATGTGGTCGACCGGGTCCGCGACTCCATCATATTCCTTCAAGTATGGAGGCTTCTCTATGCCCGGGGGGATGGGCGCCTCCATAATAGCTTGCAACAGGGGACCGCGGGGGTCGTCCTCGTCGCTCCGCTCTGGGGACAGAGACGGGGACCTGTAATATTGTCGGGCACGACGGTCCTGGTCGTGCTGGGTATCTCTCGAGCGTGGTGCTCGCTGATTGGTTCTTCTACGCCCGTCTCCGGAGTGTCTTCTCTCCTGCCTCGCGGGGGCGCGGCCGCGTCCTCCGGCTTCGATGATGGGTTGCCTCTCCAAAGGGGGCCGTTTCCCCGATGGGCGGGGTGACGGGCTTCGAGAGGTATCTCTGTAATGTCTCCGCGGGGGAGACAGGAGATGAACTTCAGTCACTCGAGGAGGTGGAGTCTGGGGCCTCCGGTGCCTCCTCGGGGGTCTTCGATCGTCTTCAAGTGCCCTCAATCTTTCCCCTTGGGCGAAGATGAGGTAATTTGTCTGATTGATCGTTGCGAACAGCGCTCGGGTTGTGGCATCTGCCCCGGCGGGGACGGGGACTTCCTGAAACTGGGCAGCCCGATAGTTCGCGAGAGCCGCATCGTCATCTTCGAGTGGCGGAGGGACCGAGGAGGATGACGCAGTAGCTCCATCGCGGTGGATTGAAGGCCCTGGGGAAGTTGACACATGGGTGGTGTTGTGACCGGGGGTTACCGGCGTTATCCATGTGTCCATTTTTATCCGCGAGGCCGTGGTTGGTGTCGACGGTGCGAATGTTTTGCTCATCACGGATTTGGTCAGCCATGACGGTGGTAGTTGAGTTGAGCTTTGGTCTTTGAGTTGTTGCAAGACGGGGAAGCTAGTTTCCCACAGACGGCGCCACTGATCTTACCGGATCAGACTTGGGCCGTCACGACTGGCTCCAAGCTGAAGTTGAACGAGATGGGAGGGGTACCTGCAAGGCACTCCGATGCTAAAGTAAGTGGCAGTACGAGCAAGCAAGAAAGTGTGTGTATGGTAAAAGAATGAATACCTGACCCTCTGGGAATAAAGGGTATTTATAGCCCCCAGCGCTGGGCCAAAGTTCCTTCATTGGGCCGGGCAGGTTTGGCCCAATGAAGGAACTGCCAGGTTCTACGTGTGTAGTAGGGACCCGCACGTGGTCTCCTTCCTGGGTGTTCTGCGAGAAGTACAGACGGACGGGGACGCGGTCTTTTCGGAATCCAGGTGATGGTGTAATGGTCATAGTCTGCCCTACGATGAGTGCTCGAGCTGAAGTCGAGCTGGACTGCATGAAGTCGAGGATGTCGTGGACACGGCTGTAGCTTCTTGGTCGGCGCGACCCCCTGCAAGACCGTTTGGATTGGGCATTCGTCCTTGCTTTTGGGCCAGCCCAACCCAGTCCAGAACACCTTTCAATCTCAATTGGAAATTTCCATGACAAATCCAAAACTCTTTTTCTTCATCTTCTTCTTCGTCTCGCTATGCATCTTCACATTTGTTCACTCTGATTTTCACTTCGAAGCTGAATACGGTGAAAGTCGAATTCGAAGAATCGTCCATCGATCCAGCTTCACTAAGATCACCTCTCTCTCAATCTCTTTCCATCGATCACAATCCAAACCCTAACCTTAATCCTACTTCATCTCCATCGTCCGATCTTCCCAAATCCACACCTCCCTCAGCCACAACCTTGGATTTCAGCTATGGATCATGTTGTTTTTACTATGGCTACGAAGAAGGTTGTGAAATCTATTCCTAAGGATTTCAGGGATTTGTAGAGGTTTGCTACTATTATGAGTCATCCTACTTCAATGAAATGGGTTATTGTTGATCTTGCAGTTATTTCTGATATTTGCATCTAATATTTGTTTTTATATCTTATAGGCCAAGAAGAAGCTCTGAGTTTTAGCTTTTAAGGTTGTATCTATGTGGTTCCATATTTCTGTTTAACAGAAGAGTACTGCGTTTCTTCTGTAAAAATGGTCATGCTTGGCAGAACGAAAGAAATGGAAGAGATGTATGAGAAGCCCACAAAGGGTTGAAGATGCAGTATAGTTATATTTAAACACTAAACACCTTAACCTTCATTTTCTCAATTATATATTATAACGTTTTTGCTTTTCTTTTGATTTTCCAGCTCCGTGTTAGACCAAATCACGGTTTTCACTATAACACAGTAATTTCCATTGTTTCAAAACCAAAAAAATGCTCTCTTCCTTTTGATTTGATTATCCAAATTCAATTATACCATGGCGTCTGGCAAACGTCTTACTTTTTCTGGTTAATCAATAGTATTGTCTTTGGATTTTATCAGTTAATTTGGTGAGAATAAAATGGTGTTGAATTAGTTTGGACTTGGTTTCGATAGTTGAACTGAACCATATCACATGGTGCTTCGTCTTTTTTACTATGATAGATATATACTTTGAATTGGGGACCATCACAATTTTGTTATGTAAATGATATAACAATTTAACTTATTTATCATTATTGTCTCAGGTTACGAATATGACATCAAAGATCTGTAACAAGAAGCTCAAAAGAGATGGCCCAAGCCTGCAGAAAGTCATGTACATTTTACAGAATAATACTCAAGAGCCACCGCAACAACCAACAAGTAACATATCTCTTCTCTTTCTGTGTTAAAGTTCGTGACCTGTTAGGTCTATTCAATTGCTTCTGCATGTTTAACATTATCAAATTGTCTTTTAAACAGGTGGTTCCCTATTTGTGTTTCACAAAAGATTATATTGTGTAAAAGTTTATTATTGGCACGACATGGCTCAACCAGAGTCTGCAAGTTTTTTAGGAGCAGAAATGGATAAGACTCTGATTCAATTTGTGATGTTGTCTCTAATAACAACATTAATGCATATGCACATTTGGTAGTAGAAATTGATATGACATTGTTTTGATTGTAAAGTTATGCATAATTAATATTAGGAGTATAAAATAAATTTGTATTGGAATTTTTTCTAACGAAACAAGAAAGAAAGTTGACCAAGAACAAGAGAAATTGAAAAACTATAATCAGAGTTTATGCATGGCAAGCACATGTCTATACCGCAAAACCCTCCTCCTCCATCAATCGAGTTCTCTTCACTAGAAGGAAAGAAAATCTTCACAGAAGCTCTTGCAGAGGGAACCAGGAATGGTTTATTCGAGTTAATTTCGTATTATCAGACTCAATCAGAGCTTGCTTTCTATGGTTTAGCTACTCTTTCTGTTGTCCTCATTGTTCTTGCCATTGATCCCAGTAAAAAATGGAAAGGTATTTTTCTACTTTGTTTTTAATTAACCCCTATTACTTTACCATTTAAATTGAATTTGGTTAGATAACATGTCCTTGGTGATGGTTTTATGATACAATGTTGGATTGGATTGTTGTGAGCGTTTGGACAATATTAAATAGCAAGGCATTATGTTTGGAAAAGTTGCGTGCTTGGCTCGATGCAATGGAGCTAAAGTTGAATCCTTGATCGAATCAGAGCAACATTGATGATTTTTGCAACCGGGTGATTTCGTGTTCTTCGGAGGAGGATTTTCATGTCCTTGTGTCTTACCTTAGAACTCCACTTAATCAGGTTTAGTAAAGAACTCATTACATTCTTTTATCTAGCTGATATATAGAAGTGATGGAAATTTGTCATATTGTTGGGTAACTGACTGGAACAGGGCATTTTTCACCGCTTGGAGGATATCACGATGAAAGAGATATGGTCCTGATATTGGATGTTAGTATTGAAAATAGGGTTAACATTTTACTATTTATACGATTTTCATCTTATGTGATGATGTTCTTTCTTTTGATTCAAGTTTATAAACTTTTATAAATGGTAATATTTCTTGGTGTGCATACTACACCACGAGGAATTGAATTGTGACGGAAAAGGGTGGTAGTGAAATATCTTTACCTCATAATCATAATGATTGCATACTAGAAACTATTATTTCACCTCCATAGAAATTATATTATTGAGTGTATGATTAACATCATTAAAGTCTACTAATTTATGAGATTTGAAGATTTTATGAAATTGTTTGAGTTTTTATATACAGACATTGATATTTTAGGTACATGGTTATTTCAAGGTTTAATAGGTTATTCCATGACACCTATTCCATTACTTCAAAATCTAAAGATTTTTGTGAGTCATGATAACCTTAGGATCATAGCTAAAGCTATTGTTTATCTATCCTAATGTGTCTCCAAGATGGTAAATTTTACTTCTGCCATTGAATTATGAAATGATGTTTGTGTGTGTTTTTGTCTCTTCTAAATGGTGTTATTTGGTAGCAGTTTGACGAGGAAATGGAAGAGTTGATTGAAGTGGTGGCTTATTTGGTGAATGACAGGCTTTTGGAGGCAAGAGACGCGTGAATAGTATTACAAAATTAGTTTAATAGTATTTTTATATCAGCAAATATATTTTAATTAGATTTTTATATCTTCAAATGTCCTATTACAGGAAAGAATGTTAGAAAGGAATCTAACCTTATGATCCATTGTTAGAAATCACCTTCATCAAGACTTTCCCATCTCACACAAGCTGGCAAAGTATAAACCCATGTAGCCCACAAAAGTCTCTAGTCCCGAGCTAAGTTGACTATACTTACAATAACAAATATGCATATTCAAATGGGAACATATCACAATACTGACGCTGACACTAAAAGATAAGTAATTATTGCATTTTCTAAAATTAGAATTAACTTATGTCTATCAATCAAAATATATAGATGCATATCTATCAATTAAACATGAGAAGTTTTGTTGTACATGTTGCATTATTAGATCAAATTATTATTTCAAAATATGCTTGGTAGTTTTGTATGCTTAGACAAGATGTAGTCAGTATAATACTACTAACTTTTTGTTATAAATATTCAACTAGATGGGGCTGCAGTTGTGCCAAATGTCACCGAAAATAATTTGAAAGAATTAAGATCTAAATCATGTTCGTAGTCATCTGCAATTTGGACATTTTGAGGGTTTATTTATCTCTATTAATAACATGTACAACTGTTGTCGCTCTAATTTGCGACACTCTCGCGTAATCTCAAACATGTATTAAGTCTTCAACCAGTCAGATTGAACTGCTTCAGTGGCCATATATATGGAGTTATTTGATGCAAGTCCTGTTGTTTATGAACATGTGAGCTTAGCATAATGGGCTATTGAACAACTATAAAAGGGAATGTTGGATCACATATTGTTGAATACTTAAATGAAGCTAAGTAGTAGAAGTTTTGGTGGATGTTAGTCAAATTAAGTGAAAAAGGTATAATTAGAAAAGTTACAATTTTATTTTTCTAACTGTTGTATCAAAAATAGGTAAGAATGTGTGAAATTATTCTTTCTATATGCAATTTAGAGGCATCAATCGACATAGTGCTATGTATTATTTTGGGTTCTAATTATTATTTGAGTTCTACTTAATTTGCACACACTTAAAATTTATAAATTATGAGATATTTCTACTTTGAAATTCTTAACCAATTTCTTTTCATAATATTATGTATGAGACAAATATTTATCCAAAGTAAAACAATATTCATGTTTGTAAAAAGATGCTTATTAAAATAAATGTTTATATATAAAATTATATAAATTATTTTTATAATAAATATAACAATATATATATATATATATATATATATATATATATATATATATATATATATATATATATATATATATATATATATATATATATATATATATATATATATATATATATATATTTCTAAAGTCACTTTTTTTTACATCATCAAACAAATTTGAACACATTTTATTTTCACTAGTAAGAAACTCGTGCTATCGCACGGGTTCTGTCTGGGTTCACATTACACGTCTATTAAATCATCATTTATAAAATATAAAACAATTCTTCAATTGGTTGAAATTCACATAATTACAAATATAGATTAACAATATGCACTGACTTTTAATAATTGATTCGTAATTATAATAAACCGTACAACTGATTCTTTAACTTCAATTATATAAACAATAACAAAAAAAAGTTTTAGAGATGGTCATTAAAATGATCGGTCTACAACTAACATCTCATAGATACGTTCATATCTATCCACTAAAACACATTAAATCGTACAACCATTTTTATAACTTTAATTATATATGACAACAACAAAAGAAATAGTTAAAAGATAGACATCAAAATAATCACTCTACATCTGATATCTCATAGATATATTCACATCTACTCGTGAATCCAGATGAATGAGTTAATTTTAAAACTACATATTTGAATAAAATCATTTTTTCAATTCAAATAATATTACTTTTTAGATATTAGTAGGTTTTTCAAAACCTAAAATTTATAACAACTATCCGTTAAATATCAGCTTTCCAATTCAAATAACATTACTTTTTAGATATTAGTCAATTTTTTCAAAACTAAAATTTATAAGAGCTTCCCGTCAAATATCAGTTTTAAATCTTTCTTATTATATTTTATTTATAATTTTTACAATCCTACAATATATGATAACTCCCTATCAAATTTCAGTTCTAAATGAATATTTATATTTCATAGTATCTTGAAATTTCAGTTCTAAATGAATACTTTCTCTATCTTTTTGTCTAGGAGAATTTTATAATAGAAGTTTAACTCTACAAAATTTATAAAATTTTGTAAATTTTAAATATTTTAAATTATTTGATATTTCATTGAATAATTTAAATAAAAATATGATAAAATTTTTAAAAAAATGTAACTAATAATAATAATTTTAAATTTATATAAAATTTAACATGCTTGGTAATAGTATGCTTGATAATAATAGCATACTACGAGGTTACTTGTTTGAAAAAAGATTTTTTTTTGTAGTTTTAAGAATAATGTCAAATCCGAAGATGTATTAAACAATCTACATCCAATATAAAATTTTATCGAATCTCTTTGACATACTATCAAAATAGTAGATTGAAAAAAACAACTTTAAAAGATTAAAAAAAACTCTTATTTTAAATAGATCTTTAACTCTATTAAAATATCAAGTTGGTCTTTTTATCGAACCACTTACTATCAATTAAATTCTCATGTTATACCATATATTATGAATTTTGTTCATATATTTAACCACTTAAGATCAATTTTTTTTATCCAAGAGATTAATGGTTAAAATTTTACTTTTTAAAAGATAAATAAGTGAAATACCACAAATCAATTTTACAATATTAATTCACTTTTAACCCGAAACAAATTTATATAATCAATTCATTCAAAATAAATTTTCTTTATCTCATAACCAAACACATGCTTAGTAAATTGGGGCACCGCAAAACACCATTAAATATTTGTGGAAAGATTTTGTAAAGTTTAATTTAAAGTTTTTGAAAATCTGGACCGAGTATAAATTTCATTTGCTCTCAAATATATAATACATGAAAACTAATGATACATTTGTATCTCTTTAAAAAAGGTACAACATTGGAGGTATTTATTTCATTTAATGAATGATATCATAAATTATTATAGATTGCAAATCTCTCTCAAAATCATTTTCAGAAAGCTATGCATTATAATACATAGTTATTAGCAACATACATATGACAAATATCATAAAATATGAATCCATAGTTATCATCTAAAACCATATAAATCAGTGAGCAATATCATATTTATGAAATAACTCAAATATTCGTGCATTGTGTTCTAATATGCAGATTATAATGTCATATATTCCAAAATAAGTAAGGAATATTTTAATTATTCCCCGTTTTAATTACATGACTACTATCATTTTTGAAGAATGAGATAAACACGGGGAAGAAAGAACATAGCTATTAATTTTTGAAGTTTTTAAGCACTATCTTGAGGTTGATGGTATAAGCATGAACACATATTACTACTAACAACTTTATCCTAATCTTCATAATTCAAAATAATAATTCAATACATAATTCAATACATGATTCAATACATATCCTAATCTTCATAATACCATTATTGTAATAACCATGAGACCACCAATACATAATTCAATACATACTGTTTGGAAGTCATTATTCGACCAATAGAAGTTTCAAATCCTGAGAGATACACATGATTATAACTAACCAATCCTGAGAGATACACATAATTAAATACATACTATTTGGAAGTTATTTATATGGTACATTAAGATAAAACTAACCAATGCATACATCAGAACATGTGAGTCTAACAGAAACAAAAAATTGAGAGATACACATGATTACAGTAGAAAAGCAAACCAAGCACAACTATCATTAGAAGAAAAACAAGGTTCCTAATTGTATAGACCTTTTAGTGTTAAATTGATCAAAATATGTATCTTGCCAAGATCCAAAAAGTGCTAGATTCAAGTTGCTCAGTGAGTTATCCTTCCTGAAAGATCAAATCTCAAGAGTTAATTTTGCATAATGGCAAATATATTAAGGTTGTCAATAAGAAATAACATTGTGAAAAGAGAAAATCTCAATATTATGTATCCAGAAATTGCATGCAAGTGGAATAGTATAATAAAATTGAAATCATAAAGAGAATTACCTTCTTGAGCAACCAAATTTTGCTCTTATTTTCATCTCAGTCTTCTAGCTATTGGGTTGTGATGTGAGAATAAGGATGCACTTCAGTTGAATTACATGAACTCTGAAAATTACAGAAAAATCTATCTAGTTAATAATTTCTTTATTTTGAGAATTCGGAAAATAACCCATCATGATCTATTTAACAAATTGTTGAGTTACCTAATGCAAAAATATCAAACACGGGCGTTTAGTTAGACACTTAATGGCATTTGTCCATTACAGTGTGTAAAGTCAATCTGGACCCTGCAGAAGAAAAATCAATTAGCTGACTTGCTAGGAATCTTATTCCTTATCCATCTTGAAGTCGACAGTGAGGATTTCTATGTGTGGTGGAAAGGAAGTGTTGGTTTTTTCTTTTGTGAAAATGCATATGAGGTTCTATAAGATACTTTTAGGTAAGACACACCTTTGGAACCTGATTGCTTAACACTAACCTCTCTGACTGACTGCTCCAAGATTGTATATGCCACAATATGTGCTCCACGTGATTGTCCCATTATGTAAATTTTGTGCAGGCGAAAAAACATGAAAAAGTGATCACCTGATGATGCATATAATCCATTAACTCCAGAGAAAGGGAAAAATAACATATGTGTACCTGTTAGGGTCACCTCCATATTCTGCAATATCAACGATTCAATGCAGACACATGGATTCCATATTGTCGACCTCTATGCTTCCAGTCTCAATTTTACTCTCAACCACCCATGCTACACCATAACCACATACACCATTGTACCCGTGATTAAGTTATACTCATAGTAAATTAAACAACAACATTGAAGCATATAAAACATAATACT